AAAAAAAAAAAAAAAAAAAAAAAGCGACAGCCACACTGCTGACCGATTTCAACAATGAAAAAGTTCAAAAAACTTTGAAAAAGACCATTTGCAATTTGTTTTTGTCTGCAGATCTAGAGGCACCACGTACAGTTCTGTCTTGGTGTGCGGACAATTTTTTTGCAAATGGTTTTTTTTTTTTTTTTTGTAGTGGAAATGGTTTCTCCTGGGTTGAATTCCCATTTAATTTAAGGTCCAAATGGAGGCCAATTTTGTCTGCACATCAAGTGGAAATTGCACAGCTGCAGAAAAGTCATGGAGAAAGCATTGCGAGCTTGAGGGCCTCGCCACATCACTCTGAAAATGTGAAAAAGACAAAAAATGTGGCGGGTGCATCTGGCCATGTTGTAGGGGAAAGTTCATTCTCATTTTGCACATGCGAGAGGGGTGTGGCGATGCCCTAAATCTGGCCACCAATCCGCTCACCGAGTCACGATCGAATGGAGTCTAGCATTAGCTGCTCGGATGATTTTTCGAAGCTTCTTTTTTTAACTTGTTGTTTTCTCAGTTTTTATTACTGATGCTTTCAGAAATTACTCCAGACTTTTGTTTTCTTAAAGGCTGTTTGCTACCTTTTTTGGGGATGATAGACTATATAATGGGAATGACGGAGGGTGGGAAAGTTAAAAAATTTTGATTGCAACGACGATTGGTGAACTTTTTGGCTCTCATAATCATGACCAAAAAAATGTGTGAAAAATAGAAAGGAAAGGTGGAGGGAAAATTTTGAGTGCACCGACTGTTGGTGATTTTCAGACCCATAATTAATTATGATATGGCCAAAAAAAATGGGAAAAAATCGTGGAAAGGTGGACAGAATTTTCTTGGGAAAATGTTGAGGGCACCAACTTTGGCGATTTTTCACACTCACAATCACTGACCCCAAAAAATCTGGAAAAAATCAGGGACATGGATTGAGTAGTGGTCTGGTTGGAATTTCTTTCTTTTTTTTATGAAAAAGGAAAAAGTGGGGAAAATTTTCAAAAAATGTTTAATGAAAAAGGAAAAAATGGGAAAATGTTTCAAAAAATGTTCGTGTTTTTGCTGCCTGCTGGGTTGTGTAGTAGGGCCAAAGCTTTTTTTGGCGCTGTGCTTCCAGGGTCGGTTAAAATCAATAGGTTCGTTAAAGTAATTTGGGGGGGCAGTGGTGGTTTCAGAAGAAGAAGAAAATCTAGGCACAGGTAAAATCCATGGTTACGCTGGACCTGGACACCGGAGCAGTCCAGATGTCCGGCCGGAGCTGTGTCTTGACTGCATATCTTCTTTTCAGTTTTTTTAACTTAAAAAAAAAAGAGTATATTATTATTATTTTTAAGTCGAATTCTTTTTTTGGGGTGGGGGTGGGGGGATGGTCACGGACACTCTGGACTGGACACCAGACCCGAATATCCAAACCCAGACCTTCTGCACTGCGGTCAAGACGTCCGGATGGTAGCCATGGTAGAATTAATAGGTTCGTCAAAATAATTTCGGGGGCGGTGGTGGTTTCAAAAACAAATTAGTAAATTACAGACAGATAAAAAGTGTCAGTGTTCATACTACGTCGTAGTTGTCAAAGGCTTTGACTGTCACATGTCAGAATCTGATAAGTCTGAGCAGAATTTTGTATATACACCCTGAGTGCTTATGGTGTGTATGGCAATTGCCAATCTTCTGGTGCGCGTAGGTATTCGTTTGGGATTTATAAATAGGCTATTGTTTCTCGACGCTGAGCATTTTGAACTATTTTCCCGTTTCGTTTTGCAGGCAGGGCAACTGGCAAGTGCCTTAAGTGCTGGGATTGGAAATAGGGTGGACTCACTTCTGCGATCCGGAATGCCTGAAAAGACAGGAGAGCAGTGATAAGAAGAGAGGAACAGGAGAGGAGAAAGAGAGCAGGGAGATGGCTGCAAGCAGACTGGACATGCATTCTTGGGTGGAGAGAGAGAGAGAGAGAGAGA